TTTTCAATTTTTTAGTATTATATCCAATATAAATATGCAAAAATAACAGTCATCGTGGTAATTTCCAAAAGGTAGGGATCCCCTGGTTTACTTATTCCGATATCTTAAACCTTCACATACCATAGAAACAATATGTGGCACCCCAATTTTTACTTTAAAATGGGGGTTGTATTGTTTTTTAAACAAGGGTGTAATTTCTTTTGACCACAAAAGAACACAAGTCGTATCTGGAATATTCAGTAACCTCACGAAACGACTGCTTACAACAAACACAATTACACTCGACCAATGTTTTGGCTACATTTTTTGGGAATCCCAGAAACTATATTTTACTTTCGGGGGATTCCTCGCTAATATTCTGTTAATTTATGAAAATTGTATGCCAGTTATGTAAAGTATCAATTTTTAAAACAATTAATGTGACATTTGAAAAATTAATTCAAGAATGTTCCGTAATAAAAACAAAAAAAATTGTTTTTCTATTAGTTTAGTCCCTTTAACTCCAGAAATATGAACAATACCAAATCACAAAATTTTTGTTGACTTTTGTAATTGAAGGGAAGATTGATGAAAAGAGACGAGGCCCAATGTCAAACAGTGGGCGGGACTAAGGACAATGAAAGAACATACATATATGCTAAACGGAATAAAGAAGAGCGGACAAATGTGATCGAGAACTGGATATGCAACAAAAGAAGAAGTTCCTTTTCTCTAATATCATATTTCATTGAACTTGGAGCACCCTGCATAGATATTTGTACATTTATATTTTGATCATTTGTCAATAAAGTCAATTATTATTACTATTTTTTTTTCTCATCGGAAGATGGAGTCCTCTCATGTCGGCTAGGTGAGTAGCAAAACATGAAATGTGCGCTATTGAAGTTGAGGTTGATTAAGAACTTTTCTAATTATGTTGCAGGTAGCTAGTACCACAGACTTCTGCATTTCAAAGTAGGCGCCTGGTTTTACGGTGAGTGTTGTCAGGTTGGTTCTGAGGGACTTTGGTATTTCTCCCATTGCACCGATCACTATAGGAACAATGTTAACCCTATCGACACGCCATGTCTGTTTTATGTCATCCGCTAACGGTATGTATTTTTCTCTCTTTTCACGTTCTTTCTTCTGCAAGTTGTTAGGTGCGGGAATTGCAACGTCGACGAGGGTCACCACCTTATTTGCCTTGTCATAAATAAGAATATCTGGCCTGTTGTGATGGACAGTGCGATCGGTCTGAACAGTTCTGTCCCAATATATCCGAAATCCCTCATTTTCAAGCACGGATTCTGGTATCAGTAGTACGGACACTTCTCTCTTAGAAGTTTAAGGTTGAACGCTATTTTCTGATGGACTATCTTGGCTACGTTGTCGTGTCTTGTGGTGTACTCCTTCGGGGCCAGTATCCGGCAACCACTGATGAGGTGCTCAACATTCTCATGGTCCTCTCCACATATGCGATAATTCGTTGTTGTTACTGTCGGGTCCTTGATTATGTGTTTAAGATAAGACCGAGTGGGTAAGACCTGATCCTGAATTGCACACATGAAACCCTCAGTCTCGGGAAAAAGGTTTCCGTTCGTTAGCCAGCCAACCGATGCGGGCTTGTCAAGGTCAGCACTGTCAAGCAAGTTTGGGTATCTGCCTTGTAGTTCCTTTCCCCGCTACTGGGTCTCGAGCTCGAAAATTGAATACTTAGGGTCGCACTGATAGTGTGTGACCTGCAACATGAGGGGTGTAAGTGATCTATCTAGACCTGTCACTCCTCGGTGGAGCGCTGAGCTTTCGCTTTTTTGATGGAAGTATTTCTGCAGCCGCTCCACCTGGGTCTTGTGGCATATTCGCAAATCCGAGAAACCCCTGCCTCCGATGTTTCGAGGTAGATGTACCCTCTCTCTGCCAGCTCGTGGGTGGTGAGCGCGGAATTTAGTTAGACTTGTCCTTAAGGTTCTATTCAGATCATCAAGCTCTGTCGGCGTCCAATCGACGATGCCGAAGCTGTACACCACTGCAGGGACGGCGTAGGAATTGATTGCAGTTGCCATGTTACGGCCTGCCAATCTTGTTTTTAAGATGTGCTTGACTCTCTCTTTAAATCTCTCGGTGAGCAGCGTCTTGACACTTTTAGAGTCTATTCCTCGCGACTGGGCAAGACCTAGGTATTTATAGGTTTCAAATTTATCCAGCGTCGTTATTTTTCCACCACCACTATGTTGTGTAAGCTGATGGCCGTCCATCTGACGCCACTCTCCTCTATGAAGTCTGCCTACTTTACACTTCTCCAGACCGAAACTCATTCGAATATCATTTGAAAAGTTCTCGATGCATCTGAGCTGCCGTTTTAGTCCCTTCTCGGTGTCCGAAAATATCTTGAGGTCGTCCATGTACATTAAGTGGGAGAGCTTAAGTTCTTTATTTATTAAGTGGATATCCTTGTTTGAGATTATTGAGAGCGGAGGAGAGTGGGTTTAACGCTATGCAGAACCAGAGCGCACTCAGAGCATCGCCCTGGAAAATACCTCGTTGGATTTTTATGCTGATCGGCTTTTCTTGCGTCCCCTGGTCTCTCGGAATTATTTGCGTCTCCCACTGGTTGATGATTTTGGGGTCAATTGCAAGTTGTTCCTTACACCCCTGTGCATGCCGCCTGCACCCCTTCTGCTCTTCAGCCAAAAGATTGTTATCATCCATGTGTTGGTAGAGTTTGTTAGCTATTATTCCATTGAGAATTTTGTATATCGTAGGCAGGCACGTTATGGGTCTGTATTTTGAGGGATTTTTAATTGGGTAATCTGTCTTTGGGAGAAGGTAGGTCATCCCTTTCGTCAGAAAGGGTGGCGCAGACTGAGGGTTGTTCAGTATCAGGCTCAAGGTGTCAGCAAGTCTGGACTTTACAGCGGTGAATTTCTTGTACCAGAAGTTCTGTATCCTATCCGGTCCGGGGGCTTTCCAGTTTTTAGCTTTCGCCAGGGCTTCATTTAGGTCCTCTACGACGATCACTTGAGGCAGCATGAGTTTTATTCTTTCGGTCTTCTTTTGTTAGCACTTTATCCACTCAGCCGAAATTTTGTGATTGAGAAGCACCAGGGCTCCGGTTAAAGAGGTTATTATCGCCATGATTGCTGGTATCTGCGCAGTCTATTTGCGTATACCCGCAGTTTCTGCTTTAGCAGATCCAACATGTCGACCACAGTATGGTTTCCAGAGTCTCCGTATTTTTTTGCACGTTATCGGCATGCTTTTTGACCCGTTTGCTTGGTTTTCTGGGTTCAAGGGTTTCAGTGAGTATACCGATCTCTCTCCTCATGGGGGGGAATTTAAGCGTTTTCTTTGGTGAGTTAGTGCTAGAGGGAGAGAATTTCTGTCTATGGAGCAGGATGGTTGCCACAGGGGCGGAGTACACCAGATCATGAACAACAGTGAGGTCATGACAGTTATTATTTTTTAAAGACAGTATGTTGTTAATTGATTTAAGTATGTTCTTGGTGTCCCGATTTGTTCTTAGTCTGGGTATCCTAGGTCTACTAAGCGGGTCCAGGCCCGCGTACCTTTCAAGACATTCCTGAATTGTCTCATGTGCAGACTGGGATATCAACCCGTTGTTCGGTTGTAGCATCCACTGCGTCATCGACTGTCCACCTCAGCTCTAGAGCCACCTCTTTTCTCATAGTCTGAATCACTTCAGGTTTAAGCCGGTGTTTTACAAATAGTTGCCTTCTTTGGTCTAGAATGTTCTGGATGGTTTTTCCCTGTAGAGCGGGAAATCTTTGAATCATTGCTTCATGTAGTCTGTGGCCGTATGGGTTCTTATTGGTCTCCATTTCGGTTATGCGTAGGTAGGTACGATAAAGGTAAGTGTTCATGTCCTCTGACCATTTAAATCGTACCGTCCTAATATTGTCCCCGATCATGGGAAGACGCTGAGTGTCTTCAACATTTAGCGGGGTCGCAACTTGTTCTTCAAGGGAGTTGTTTCGGTCGTTCCTGTTGCTTGTGTTGGTGGATTCCGTTCGCAGGTCAGTGCCACTCGTTCCACTGGGGCCTGCGCCAGACTGGGGGTCTTCAGGACGCTTCCGAACAGAGGTAGTCTGGTCCTCTGCCACGCCCGAGTACCTGTTACGCCTTGTTCTGACAGCGATCGCGGTTCACGCGAGTTGAGCTGCTACCACAACTCGCGGTGTGCTGATTTTTGTCCACCTCGGGTATTTTATTTCCCCGATACTCTTCAGTCCAAAAAAAACTGACGAGCGTACCCCATCGCCAGGGGCGGCCCCCGATAGCAGTTCAGCTTCAGCCACGGGTTATTATTATTATTATTATTATTATTTTTGTTGTTGTTATTATTGTTGTTGTTATTATTATTATTATTATTATTATTATTATTATTATTGTTGTTGTTGTTGGTATTATTGTTGTTATTATTATTATTATTATTATTATTATATTATAACAATTATAACCGCTTGTATAAAGCTAACGCTTAGCAATTTACGATAAGAAAATTTAAGTTATCGGTTAGAAGCTATCTTTCCAGTTATAGTTTTTACTCAGTTGAGGAATTTCTATCACATATCCCAAGAATATAGTGTATACTGTTAACTCAAGCAAATATTTTTATTTATAATTTTTTTTTCTATAAACATATGTTTATACATATTATTTTTTCTATTTCTTGTTAAATTTATCAAATTGTTGTTGTATTTATATTTTCTTCTTTTTGTTATTGTTGCTGTTATTTCTATTTTGTTATATTACTGAGTTTCGACTTCACAAATACATGTATTTATAGGTGGTCAATAAACGATATCTATCTATCTATCTATTATTATTATTATTATTACAAACGGTAAATGCGTATAGTGTAACGATAACATCACGAATGACAAAGTAAACGCAGCGGATACATAACCACTTTCAACCGGAAAAATAGGTTTACGAATGTAGAGCATGAAACGGGGGTGTTGTGTCGGCGTTCGATCGCTATGGCAACGAGGAAAATCGTATTTCCAAGAGCCGAGTCGGCGACTGCGTTATACAGAGATTGTTTTTCATTCCAATTAAACTCGAAATTGTTGCCTGATCTGAAAAATAACATTTTAGATGATTGTTAAATCCAAAAATTATGAATGAAGGGTAATTCAATAAAACTCTCGGTGAGTATCAAAAATCCGTTGCGCAAATTTGTAAAATCAATTTAAGGTTAACCTTATTTTAACATGACATCGATTTTTAAGGAATATGTTTTCATTTGATATTAAGCTTAACCTTTGTTATAATTATGTTTATTCATTTTAGAATATAACTACCAATTTGTAACTGTAAATATAAATATATGGAAATCTCTTTTAGATAATCACTCTGTTGATGTTGTCCTTAATACCATGGCCTGGGCCAACAATATTCAAAATATCTTGCCCGAGAGATAGGGCTAGAATAGTAAGAAAAGTTGTCCAGGCTAAGTGGATTCCCATTCTCGCCAAATATAAGTTGCATTTACCGTTAGAATGTCCTTTTCACCATCAAAGGGATATTTTTGGACCGCAACAGCTCGCTAAAAAACAACACAGGCCTTCACAATGGACTTGCGGATTCTGTGGGAAATCATTTTTCGAGGAAAGATATTTGGACATGCATTTTGACATTCGACACAAAACCCACATAAATATGGTAGACTTCACTAACAAAAATTTTCGATTGATTATTCTGTATGTAATTTCAGGCAGAGGATGCAGTATGTCTAGCAGATTACTGTGATATAATGCGTTGTGAGGTATTGAACACTCAAGATCTCAGAACAATCTTGGACCACAAGAATACCGACGTAGAAATTTGGCACAAAACTACATTACACTCCAAAGCGCTTATTTCACCTGGATCTCGGGATGTGGCAAATTACGACATCAAATCTGAATCTTTTAAATATTTACAAAAGAAAAATGATCTACTTAATGGAAAGCAGCAGTGTCAGAGGAGTAAGAATGTTGCAAGAAACAATGGTAAAGAATTTTATTCTTTTTTAAAATAATCGGGATGTATTCGAAATCGCGCAGTTTTAATGCATTTAATTTAATCAGAGTGATCATCATTTAAAGAATTAAAAAGTATTTCAATAACCATGCTCCAACGCTAGACTGAGGGCCTGAGGGTTCGTAAAAAAAAAGTTAAATATTTTAGGAAAACTTTTTTGCCATACATTATAGTATATTATGCAACAAGTCATTTGAGTCACGAGTTTATTTGGTACGAGCGGAGCGAGTGGTTAATATACGAGCGACTTAAAAAATTTGCCAAACGTGTTGCATACTATACTTTTTCTACGACCGTTAGCTTTTGAGTACATTCTTGTAAAACAACGCTAGTACATTCACTGAAATGACCGTCAGAATTGACAATCGTCAAAATTCAAGCTGTTTAGTGAAATATCCGAAAACATCCGATTGCTCGCAAACGCTTGCGGTAATATCCCGGAATTGTCCGAAGTGGCTTGGATCCGTGGGAAAAGAAACTCAAATGGTAAAGTGACACTTCCTGCACGCTAGGTCGGTGTATAATTGGGAATTTTACAGAAGCGAATAGAAAAAATATTTTTTGAACAATTTTGTTGAAATTTGGCACGATAAAGGGCGGATTTTGCGTTAAGTAGATTAAAATTGTAAAATCCAGTGCTATTCTATGCTAAAGGATAGTATTGAAAAAAAAAGCAGTTCGAGACTAACTATTTTGCATTTGCTGTTATTTACTTTTGCCTTGAAATGGTAAAAATTTGCCATATTTTTGTAAACATTTTTTTTTGTCAATTTTGATCAAATTTAACTAAAAAAAAAATATTATTAAAGAAAAAGAGGAAAACGGACACTATTGCCTTCAACACACACATTCAGTAACAATTTAATAATTTGACTGATGAACAGATATCCATCTACATTAACACAAGGTTGGCCAATTTCAATTTTCAAATTCAAAAATTACTTTTTTTTATTTGGTACACCGCAGTTTTTAAGCACGTTGGATCACATAATTATACGGACAATGATTCTAATATAATAATAATAATAAAAATAATAATAATAATAATAACATCTATTTTCAACTTTTTCATCTTACAATTTTGTCTACAATATTACTTATTGAAAGAAAACAAAGAAGAACGTTTCACAGAAACTATGTCAATAGTATATTATGGAACAAGTGCGGTAAACGAAATTTTAATCACGGGTTTATTTGACACGAGCGGAGCGAGTGATTAATAAACGAGTGACTTAAATAGTTTACCGAACGTGTTAGTTAAGGATTTCGAACAACGGGTCCCGTTTTTAAAAACACTTGTTTTACAAGCAGAGCTACGAGCTTTACATTAAGGTGCTACAAGGAAAATTGAATTCACAGTACATTGTACACATATTTATAACGTTCTTATGCGAACGTCGCGTCGCAGATACTGGAAATACTGCAGCTAGCATTTGTTGTAGTCATCAGGATATTCTGTCACATAATTCCTCCCTCCGTAGTGGAAAACAACAGGGACGAAGGGTTGTGTCCAGGAGACTGCCCGTGCTTGGTTTTCTTGGAATCATGCAGCAAACGGGTCTTGCAAATTTTCCATTAGCAAGAAGTGCGGTAAACGGCATTTGACTTACGAGTTTATTTGACACTAGCGGAGCGTACTGGAGCGCAGCGGGGCGAGTGTTTAATAAACGAGTGACTTAAAAAGTTTACCGAACGTGTTGCATGCTATACTTTTTCTACGACCGTTAGTTTTTGGGTACATTTTCGCAAAACAACGCGAATACATTCACTGCCATGACCGTCAAAATTGACAAACGTCGAAATTCAAAGCGTGGGAAATATCTCCGAAAACATCCGATTGCTCCCTTGTTAACTTAAGACAAAAACAAAATGAAACTCCCTATCAATTTCACGAAAAAGTTATTCACTTATTAAATACTATTTGCAACCATATTGATATAAATTGTCCAGATGAACTAAAAGAAAGTAAGAGAGATTTCTTTGTTAAACAAGCCTTAAAAACATTCTAAGCAGGACTTAAGGATCCTCTAGGTCCAACTATTCGGGCAATGAGACCAACTTCTTTAAGTCAGGCCTTGCAATACATAACTGAGGAAGACAACATTAAGTATTATCAGAGATCTAACCACACCAACATTTTATATCAATTCCGACAACATAAACCACCAACCCCAAGGCTACAACAACCAACCCGTAACAGATATCAAAACTTCCAGCAACCTCATTTTAGACCAATAACATGGCCACAAAATCCACCCCAATTTCATCAGCCACAATTCCCTCGTGGCCCAATTAATGTTCAAAGACACCCCAATCCACCAATGCAGAGATTCCCCACTAACTCACAAGTTTTTGGAAAAATTTCTGCAGGACCGAGTACCTCACGGGATAAACCTACCCCTATGAGTGTATCCACCAGGAATACTTCGACTCATTTAAGGAAACCTTTCCAAAGCAATAATCATTTCCAAAATTTCGGACAAAAACCCAATTTTATTTCTGAAGAATTATTCAACACGGAACACTTCGACGAACAAACTGACTATGACGAATACCCACCAGATGATCAACAAAACTACGAACCCGACTTTGACAACCAAAATGAAGAACAAGGCGAAAATTTTCGCGAAAGCCCGAACCTCGAACAGGAAACGTGATAGAATATCACATGTCCTCGGATAAAAATGAATTACCGTATATGCAAATCACAAAACCACCCTTAAAACTTTTAATTGACACAGGTTCGACAAAATCTTTCATTAACCCGGAAATCGCCTCTAAATATTATTATAATCGCATTTTCCATGAACCTTTTACAGTTTCGACCATCTTTCAAACCTCATCACACGATTATTGTTGCGAAATTCCAATATTTCCTGAGTTCAACCAAAAAGAAACATTGAAATTTTATCTTTTTAACTTCCACAATGTGTATGACGGATTAATTGGATTAGATAACCTAAAACTGTTAAATGCGCAACTCGATTTCGTTAACTCAATCCTAACTACACGTTGTTCAAAGATACCAATAAAGTATCAAAACTCAAATCAAAATATTTCATTTAAACTAATAATAAAACCCCATACACGAGTCGTTACGAAAGTACCAGTAAATAAAACAGGTGGTGATGTCATCATCCCAAATCAAAATATTCAAAACTGCGAAATACCTGAAACATTATCTGTTGTAAAGAATAGATTAGCTTTAGTCGAAATATTAAATAAAACGGACAAGGAAGTGACAATTATATTGACAAGCCCCTTAAAAGTGATTCCTTTTGACGAAAATAACTACGAACTTTACCACGTTGATGTCACATCTTTTAATGAAAAACAGAGATTAGATATTGAAAAAATTATACGGACTGACCACATGAACGCGGAAGAAAAAGATCATGTTATTAAATTATGTAAAATATTTTCGGATATTTTTCACACTAAAAATCAGTCGTTGACCTTTACGAATCAAATAAAACATTCCATTCGGATAAAAGATGAAATCCCGGTTTATAGTAAATCATATAGGTACCCGTTCGTCCACAAGGACGAAGTTCAACGTCAAATTGGTTCAATGTTAAACCAAGGAATCATAAGACCCAGCAATTCACCCTGGTCATCACCGATATGGATTGTACCAAAACCGGACGCCTCCGGTAAAAAGAAATGGCGAATCGTCGTGGACTACCGGAAACTTAACGAAAAGACGATAGAAGATAGGTACCCGTTACCTAATATGTCTGATGTCCTAGACAAATTAGGAAGGTGCACCTATTTTACAACCCTCGATTTGGCCAGTGGTTTCCATCAAATAGAGATGAACCCGGAAGACGTCGCCAAAACAGCTTTCAACGTGGAGAATGGCCACTACGAGTATCTACGGATGCCGTTCGGACTCCGAAACGCCCCTGCGACATTCCAGCGAGTTATGGACAACATACTCAGAGGGCTACAAAATGAGATATGTTTGGTGTACCTAGATGACATCATTATATTTTCAACTTCACTCCAGGAGCACCTTGTCAACTTAAAAAAAGTATTTCAGCGTCTAAGAGACACCAACTTCAAAATACAGCTTGACAAATCGGAATTCCTGAAAAAAGAAGTGGCATATCTAGGCCACATCGTGACACCTGACGGAGTAAAACCCAATCCCGACAAAATTTTGGCAATAAGGAAGTATCCATTACCGAAATCAACAAAGGAAATAAAAGGATTTCTAGGACTCTTGGGATATTACCGAAAATTTATACGAGACTTTGCAAAAATTACTAAGCCTTTGACGATGTGTTTAAAAAAGGACGCCAAAATAGAACACATCCCGGAATTCATCGCTTGTATTGAACGCTGCAAAAACCTACTAACAAATGAACCGATACTGCAATACCCAGACTTTACCAAGGATTTTGTCCTTACGACAGATGCCAGTAACGTAGCCGTCGGAGCCATATTATCTCAAGGACCGATAGGTAACGACAAACCTGTCTCCTTTGCATCAAGAACACTGAACGAATCGGATCAAAATTACTCAACAACCGAGAAATAGCTCCTCGCGATAGTTTGGGCGACAAAATATTTTCGGCCATATTTATATGGGCGAAAATTTCTAAATCGTTACAGACCACAAACCACTCCAGTGGCTTATGTCACTAAAGGAACCGAACTCACGGTTAGTCCGCTGGAGATTAAAACTGGAAGAATACGATCACGAAGTGGTGTATAAAAAAGGCAAAAACAATACCAATGCGGATGCACTATCCCGTATTGAAATACACACCAAGGAATTATTTAAGTACATGGAAGATTTTAACGATAAGATGTCCAAAAAACCCGATCGAGATAACGAATCAATCGTAGGCAATATTGACGAAGCACCCTGTATAGAAGACGTAAGAGAAAGCGAAAATAATGACCCGACCAATCAAAATCCACTTAACATAGAATTCACGCCCAATACCGAAGAAGACAACTC